ATTGACTGTAGAATATTTTTCTACCCTCCTTTAAAGTTTTCAGTTTAGAATTAATAACTGCTGAATACAGACTTCAAGATGCATCTTCTCTGAATTGTGGACATTTCTATGTAAATATGAATTTCCAGCAGATTAATTAAAAATTAAGAATTATAGGACTGTAATTTTTGTGCTTTATAAAGAAAAGAAAATCTGTATATTTCTTCTTATAAATTATCTTTCACTTCCCTTTCCAAATCACATCACCCGATGTTCATTACACCATTTCACACTTCCTTCTGTAATCATGAATATAGAATCATGTTGGGATAGACTGAGTTCGAGGGTTCGATTACTTGATTGGCTTAAAGTTGGTCAAGTTGCACGTGTTAGTGTTTACTGTTGAGAAATAGGAAAAATCAAACTCAGAAACTTACCGTCTACAGGATATGATCCCATGTGATACAGGGAATCTATTGATTAATTCACATGCTGCCCTGTGAGAAAGAGAGATCTCTTTATTCATCAATCACTTAATTATAAGAGTTAAATTGTCCATGTAAACTCGCGTGTGTGTTGCAATCTGTATTTCTTGTTTTTTGCTTGAACATGTTTGCCCAGTCTCAGGACAGATCAGTTACATCTAATGGACAAAATAGAAGATGTTTCATACTTTCAACTGATGACTGAAGTACAGCCAGATTCTGAAACACGCCTTCATAACAGACCTTCAGGCTTCCCTTATTTGGTCATTGACATCACAGTTTCATGAATTTTAAATTTATCATGGCTTCAGTCTTTTCATCAGAAAGGATTCCTATTAAAGGCCAGACAGTGAATCTTACTTCAAGACTAAGATCTGGTCATGAGCGTCTGAATGGGCTCTAAATTAAGAGAAAGTAACTGGCTAGCCGTCAGTCGTAAAATGACTTTGAAACGAAGCGGTAGGATATGTGGAAGACGAAGGCGAATATTTGTCATAACCATGGTGGGCCTTTGATAAGGCACTGGTGTATGGTTTAGAGGTTACGGGGTTTGAAGACATGACTATTTTTTGTGAGAAAAAGAATGTAAGAACTTTGTGACTTTTACCAATAGAAATTGAAAAGTGAATAAGATTTTTTAAGCTATAAACCAAATCGTACAATATAAGGACGATCGCAGAAGGCTACATGCTACATGTTCTGGTGGTCCAGAGGTAAGGTACAGGCGTTGTAAACATAACGATCGTGGTTCGAAAACACGAGTATTTTTGTAATGAGATTTTTATAGCATTATATAGCGAGATGTAACATAAGAGGAAGATTAAAATTCAAAAATTTCCGTGGCATCGGTGGCCCATTGGTAAAACACCGGCGTAGTGAACAAGAGTTCGAAGGTTCGAAACCAAGTATAGTTTTGTGATTTAGAAAGTAAGTTAATTGATTTTTCTG